GTTCTTAAACTGCCTGAAACCTACTGCTTTGCAGCACAAGGCAAAGATTAAAAAAAAACAAAACAAAACAAAACAAAAAAAATACCCACACAGCCTGACATTTGGGGAGGACAGAAAACATGAACAAGTAAATGGATAACTATGCCCAATATGACTGTATTTCTATATATATATTTTTTAATTTGTGTGGTGTCATGCTCTGCAAATTATCAGATTAAAGTAAAAGAGACTTCTTGTGAAGTAATGCACTAAGCAACATGAGCAAGAATGGTAATATCTGGACCTTTATTAATAGATGTGCTACCACGGTTAGATATCCTAATTCCAAAATGCAACTTTGGGAAGGAAAATAATCTCCATGTGCAAAGTTAAAGATAACATAGAAAAGATTAAACTATACAAACTGGGAGTAAAAATGGCCAGAGAGGACCCAGGTGATCAGAACTGGCACAGAGCCCACAAGACAGTAACTGATGGACTGTTTTGAAAAAGCTAATTTTTATGCAGAGTCCAATCCAACAGTTGCTTGAGGCCTCTAATTCTACTTAATATACAGGTGACACCTCTCCCTCCCCATCTCCCTTCCCTCCCCACCCCTTATTTCTCTGCAGGACAAGAGGAAAGAAATGTAGCCCAATCCTCTCTTTTGAGAAGGTGAGGTCCTGCTTTTACAAAGTGCTTTGTAAATGTTTGTCCTGTCTGGCTGACCCACTAGCACATGTAGCTCCAGTGTATTTCAAGGCTTATACATTTTAAAAGGGACAGTCAGAATTTACATCCTTCTACCACCAAGATAGAACAGTAATCTTTAAAATTATTTCCTGCCTACAAATTTACTTCAGTTTGCTCTATTCAGGCAGCCAAAAGTTATTAGTAAAAACAGTCTTTGATATTCATTGCTTTGGCCAGGAAGTAAAATATTGTCACAGCAATATTTTAAAAGAATATTTACCAAAAAGTTAATAGGTTTGTCATATGTGCTTTATATCTTCCAGCCATGGAATGTGCAGTTTGACAGCATGTCTGAGTCCACAACAGCTTCATTCTGAAAAGGAATAGCATAAAAATGGCAACTAAATATTTTTTATTAGAGATGTTTGGATTGTAAAACATCCTGCTCTAACTGCACTACCTAGCACAAGTATTTTGCAAAATATAATGACCTAAACCAGGGGTGTCAAACACAACTGTCCCCAGCCTCTACCAGGATGGATTCAGACATTGTTGGTGACAGGAGGAAGAACAGCGTGGCAGTGGTCTGAAGGTTAACACTGTCATTGCTCATCCCCTGTGTAACAGGCTGCAGGCTTGCAACCTGGATCAGTTAGCCAGCCCCTAACACGCCCCTACCTAAGGGGCCTCAGCTGGCTCCGGCAATCAGCTAATAACTGGCTGACTAGAAATAAAGAAGAAGTGAGATGAGAAAAGGACCTAGAGAGGTGATGGTCTGGTGGAAAGTGAGGCTTTCTCCAAGAAGGAAGGAAGACTGGGGGTGAGAGCTAACCCATGCTTGTGGGTGTTCAGGTTGGATTGTTTTGTGTTTTCTGCTCAGTTCTGTGGTGCAGGTTCACCCAAAACTTGTGTTGCTGGGCCCAGGATAAAGGTGTGTTTATGTTAGATTGCTCATATTTTTTGGCTGAGCCATGTAGAGCAGATAGGTCCTGGGCACTTGAGCCTGTGTTGCTGAGCCCAGAGAGAAACTAAGTTGCTGAGACCAGATTAAAGGAGCTGGTTCAAGGACTGGCTTATGCCTGGGGGTACTGGATGAATGCAGACCCCCCCCCCCCCCAACTACATCTCCTGGTTGGGCTCTGCCTTCCCAGCTACATTTGCAGGCCATACTCCTGCTCCCTTTGTCAGTGCCTCCAGAAGGCCAAATTAAACTGCTCCATGGGCTACATCTTAGACACCCCAGCCCTAACCTGCACCAGGATGCACTGCCTCCTGACTGTAACCAGCTAGAGCAGAGCAGTAGAAAAACCCAGAAGTTGCACACAAACTGGTTTAAGTGACTGGGAACTGCTTTAAGCCTGTAACAGAACAGAAGTGCAGTGTACATAAACTACTTTTAGCAAACCCTGGCTGGATGTAGTATCAGACCTAACTGATTTAGGTCAAACTGGTTTCTGGAACTTCTGTCCCATGCCCCTTCCTGCTTCAAGTCAAATCCTAGTGCCCTCCTTACCCCCCCCCCC